GCTTACATGCACCGGACTTGACACGCCTGGCTTTTGCTTTTTAGAAATCCGCACGGTAGACAAGGCAGACATCACTTATTGTCAAGGCTGGGGCTGTCCAGGCTCCCTACACATGGTTACTTAATGAAGCACATTTTAACATCGCTAATTCCAATGCTGCCCAGCTGATTGGCAGAGTATCCACTACTAGGTTCATGGTTGCTTACATGCACCGGACTTGACACGCCTGGCTTTTGCTTTTTAGAAATCCGCACGGTAGACAAGGCAGACATCACTTATTGTCAAGGCTGGGGCTGTCCAGGCTCCCTACACATGGTTACTTAATGAAGCACATTTTAACATCGCTAATTCCAATGCTGCCCAGCTGATTGGCAGAGTATCCACTACTAGGTTCATGGTTTTTTCTGGTGGGACACTTTACACATGCCGTGGTGCACATAACAAAACTTATTCTGCACATGGATGGCAAAGATTAGAGGGACCATTGTCTGGAATATTTTAAGTGACCCCCCCTGTTGCTTGGTCATTGGGCTGCCAGTACATGACCCTTTTTCATTCTCAAGTTAATTGCCTCTGTTGGTTGGATTGCTTTGGTTACCTTAATTACTCCTGTGCTTCCATTCTCTGGTGTTCAAAGCTTGACCTCTGCAGACAGGGCCTATCAATATTCCTTTCTCCTGAACAAACCTGTGCTTGAATTGCTTCCTTTAGACATTTAGTAACACGCTTCTAGCATTCCTACGTAGCTGTATATATGTCACAAGAACACTAATTACCCATTGCTTCTGGGCTCTAGTAAAACGTCCCTACTCGACACAACAGATTCTGTACAATACTGTACTAATAGATTCAATTGCTGTGATGTCCAGCTCCTGGAGTGTTTAGACTTTGATGGTCACAGGCAGGTCAGCAAGCAGGGGAAATGGATTAGTGGCTATTTCAGTTCACGGTGGAAGTGACCGAATACAATGAAGAAAAGGCTGCATAGGAGGAGGCTTCCACAACATAGAACTTGGCAGCCATTGCTGCGTATTGTTTGATAGCAGCTCAGTTACGCCTCTCTGTTGCAGTGCTTGGCCATGAGGCGATACTGCAAGACAGTAGTGATGGAGGAGTTAATAGCCACGTATCTTCCAGAGGAACTCACTGAGAGAAGAAAGGTGTATGAAGAGGAAATTGCAGAGCTCTCCAAGTATGTAATCTGTCTTTCTAACTAGTCTTTAAAAAGTTGATCAACTAGCAACTGCATGGTTCTCCTCATCGTAAAACATGTTCTAAGATACTGCAAGTAGCTGACTCAGTTTTACGGGATTCAAGAAGTGCAGGGCTCAGATACAAGACTAAACTTTCAGCTATCTGATAGGGAGGTTAAATTTAATTTAATCGACTGTCAATAAGCAGGTGAGCCTCTAACTAGTCTTTAAAAAGTTGATCAACTAGCAACTGCATGGTTCTCCTCATCGTAAAACATGTTCTAAGATACTGCAAGTAGCTGACTCAGTTTTACGGGATTCAAGAAGTGCAGGGCTCAGATACAAGACTAAACTTTCAGCTATCTGATAGGGAGGTTAAATTTAATTTAATCGACTGTCAATAAGCAGGTGAGCCTTAGTAGAGTTAGCTCTTCATATATTTAAAGGCTAATGCGTGGGGGGGAGGGGAGGAGGGGGACGTTTTATCCTCTCCCCAGCACTGGTTCCTGCTCCCCCCCACCCCTTGCTGCCCCAGAGGCAGCAAGGGAGGAAGAAGCAACTAGTCAACTGTCTGATAATTATCCAATAAGGAAAAGCTTAACTAATCACTTGCATCCCTACTATCTGATAGTCTACTCTTGCAATTGCTTTCCAGTTTCATTTGAAAACAGGAGGCAATCAATCCAGTAATAGAGGTGCATTGTAATGCTGTTGCCCTCTGTAGACCTTGGTGTACGTCGCCATGCCTGGAAGTGGAATTCCACAACCCACAGGCTATGTCTACACTGGCGGGTTGTTGCACCAGAAGTATGCAAATGAGGCTGTGTGGAATATCACCAAGCCTCATTTGCATACCTAATGAGCCGCCATTTTGCAGAAGAGGCTCTTGTGCCAGGAGCTGTCTACACTGCCCCTTCTTGCGCAAGAAAACCCCTCTTACACAATGCCGTTATTCCTCAAAATAATCAGCGTAGCAGCATTGCGCAAGAGGGCTTTTCTTGCGCAAGAAGGGGCAGTGTAGACAGCTCCTTCTGGCACAAGAGCCTCTTCCACAAAAATGGTGGCTCATTAGGTATGCAAATGAGGCTCGGCGATATTCCACACTTAGCCTCATTTGCATACTTCTGGCACAACAACCTGCCAGTGTAGACATAGCCACAGTGTATACACAAGTTGGAAATTGGATGGGAAAGGGGCAAGTCGAGGATTGTTTGAGTTCTAAAGCAACCTGGAGAAAGGTGACGTTAAAAAGTTCCATTACTTATAATGAAATCGAAATGCCCTTCTTCGGAATAACAGCAAAAAATAGCTTAGCGACCTTTGCATGGTCTAGAAATCTTGGTTTCCATTTTATTGTAAAGCTCCGTGGCAAGGCATCCTCTACACTATTGCATTATGTCTACGATTTGTTCTGCTAATGCTTTGTGGAAGATGGTGCGCGTTTTTCTCAAACGTCATGGATTTTTTCCTTGCAGTTTAAATAAGAATGTCCCCATCTTCGTCTGCACAATGGCCTATCCCACAGTCCCTTGCCCGCTGCACATCTTTGAGCCGTGTTACCGACTGATGATTCGGAGATGTATGGAGACTGGCACCAAACAATTCGGAATGTGTCTCAGTGATCCTGTCAAAGGGTGAGTGAGCCGTGTGTGCCAGCGGTGGTAGTAACTCTTCTAGATCCAGCCCGTGATTGGTTCAGTCCAGTGGTTTGTCTCCATGCTGGCTGCCTCAGAGGAAGCTGCTGAAAGCCCAATAAAGCACAGTTGTGGAATGGGCTTGATTGGGGAAGGAGCAGTCAAACCCTCACTATGGCCCCGATTGAGGAGGAGAAAGACACGCCCCACATTCACCTTGCACAGCAGAGCCTGGGGTGGGGGAGAGCCTGGTAGATTTTGTGTGCTCCAGCCTGCAAGGGGCCTGGAGCAGCAGTACAGGCCCCCAATGCTGGGGGTGGGGGAAGCCCTGAGCCTCATCCAGCTGAGGGCCTGAGGTTCCCCACCCCTGCACTCAGCTATTGGCCTGGAGCATGTGGCTGGGGAAAAGGCGTTTGTCACCTTGGTTTTACATTTCTTTCTTTGCTACTGCCAACTAGCTTGGAATGCTGATACATTTTACGATCAAGAAATAACCGTGTTCCATATTGACATCTGCATGGTATTAAATGTATTTTATATGGAAATATACCATCTTCTAGAACTGAAAGTGACCTTGAGAGGTCAAGTCTAGACCCCTGCCCTCACAGCAGGACCAAGTACCATCCCTGACAGATTTGCCCCAGATCCCTAAATAGCCCCCTCAAAGATTGAACTCACAACCCTGGGTTTAGCAGGCCAATGCTCAAACCACTGAGCTATTCCTCTTCCTTGCAGTGGTTGGGATAAGTAGAGTCAACTCCGTATATGCACTGGGTGGGTATTTGGCATCGATATGCTGACAGCATGATGCAATCATCTACACTTTGAATTCTCACCAGCTTCATACTGGTCTGTATGAGCCAGAGACTAGAGCAAAACTTACTAAAATCATTGGTAAGTGTTTCTTTGTAGATTTCGCAGACCTTCCCTGGTTCTTACTAACCCTACTGGCCATAGAGTTCTCTTGCAATGCAGATACATAGAAAGCGAGTTACCCTTCTAAACCGTTGCACTGTTATCCGAGATCTTCCACGGTACAGAAAAGTCCCAATATTCTAAGACGGAGTGGCAAATAATAAACGGTGTCTATTGCCGCTGGTCATTAGAACAGAGGATTAAGGCTGCTTGGTGGTCCCTTGCAAAATGTTTTGAGCAAAGCTCTGAAAATGCCCAGTTCAGATTTAACATTGCAGGGGCCACCTGCCGTCTTGTAGCAAAGCTCCAGTAAGCCCTGTGACGATGGACCTCTTCTTTGCCAACCCCACAGCGCTAGTGCGTCTCCTTTTTACAGCCCTTTCAGTGTTTTTGCCAAGCCCACAGCGCTAGCACGTCTCCTTTTTACAGCCCTTTCAGTGTAACACACAGGATTCTGTCTATTAAAGGACAAAAAGCACAGGAAAGTGGATCCTGGTTCCTGGAACAGGTGCCGGTTTCCTCTGGGCCCCAAGGGTGGTGTGCACATCCCCTACCCTGCCCCATCCCTTCCTGTCCAGTTCCTGCTTTTCCCCTTCCTCTTCAGCACCACCCCATGCCTCCAAACAGCTGACTGCAGGGGGCAGGAGGTGCTGAGGGAAAGGGGGAGCTGGCTACTTGCTGAGGGTTGCCGAGTACCCACAAATTTTTCCCATGGGTGCTCCAGCCCGGCAGCAGCCACAGAGTTGGCACCTACAGCTCCTGGACACACCTCTGATACGATCCAACGTACAAGCTGAACAGCAGGGAATGGCTCAGATTATTTCCACTCAAGTGACTCTCGCTGACGGACACAGCTTGTCCTTCCCTGGTTAGTCGATGCAGAGGTGGGCCGAACATCAGGCAACATGGTCAGTTCCTAACCTCCATGCCATCTCTCTAAAGAAACGTCAATCTGCCCCAGTAGCTGCTTGACCTCCTCCCTCCCCGAGGGACTAGTAAAAACCAGATTTTCTCAGGCAAGCCTTGAACTGGGCCCCCATCCCTGTGAATAGCCCCAAACCCCTTACCCCTTATTACCCAGTTCCTCAGACTCCTAATAGCCATCTTCTCCCAGGAATCAGTCACACGCTTAATGTGTTTTCTTTCTCTGATTATTCTCCCACCAAACAGAATTGGCACCCGTGACACACACATTGCAGCCACCTCTGGCTGCTCAGTCCAACACTCTTTTTTTAATGTCAGACTTGTGATGAACTGACCCTTACTTGTTTTGTTTGAAGGTGGGTTCACCACCATCAGTCTCAGCAAGGTCTGTGATGGATCTAGCCTTTAACATAAGAACTCCATCTAGCCCAGTGTCCTGTCTGCCAATAGTGGCCAATGCCAGGTGCCCCAGAGGGAGTGAACAGAACAGGGAATAAAGTGATCCCTCTTCTGTCACCCATTTCCAACCCCTGACAGAGGCCAGAAACACCATGCCTGCCCATTCTTGGTAATTAGTATTGATGGAACTAACCTCCATGAATTCATCTGGTTCTCTTTTGAACCCTGTTAAAGTCCAGGTCTTCACAACATCCTCTGGCAAGGAGTTCCACAGGTTGGCTGTGTGCTGCATGAAGAAAAACTTCCTTTTGTTTGTTTTAAACCTGCTGCCTATTCATTTCATTTGGTGATCCCATGTTTTGTTAGTCTATAAAGTGCTACCAGACCATTTGCTTGCTAGTTTGTTACAGGAAAAAAAACAACTCGGCTACCCCTGAAGCTCCTAGTTCTTATGTTATGGAAGACGTTAGTATGTCTGTTTCACAGAACAATGCCACAGAAGGAAACTGGTGTTTGTTTTTCTTTTTGGAGATCTGTAACTTGGGTCCCGTTGATCAGATGACCCCACATATGGGTCATTAATGCTACCTCGTGCTCCCATGAGGCACACCAAGTTTCAAAGCAATCTGAATAAGCGTTTGGCTTGTAGAGCACTTGCAAAAGTCAAGCTTGAAATCATGGAATGGCAGGTGTGGAAACCCTCTAGGCACTTGGCTGTGGTGCTACATGTGCATTGGAAAAAGGTATTTCCTTAGCTGCTAGTCTTAATGTGGCTCCCCAGAGATTTGATGTGCCTCACGCTGCTGTGAGTCAGATTGATTTGAGACCACTGTGACCGGCTTTATGTTAAATTAACTTTAACTGTAGTTCTGTGTGCAGAAATACCCACCTAGAAACGCTTTGGAAAATGAGGGGAGCCCAGAATGGCTTGTCTCTCCAGAAGCTCTAGTCCAGGCGTGGGAACCTTGGCTCGGGGCTTCCCCAAGTATAGGGGAGCCTGTATTGGCCTTCCAGCTCCTGTCACCCCACCGTGGTCCAGTGTTGAAAAGGGGTGTGTAACGCTCAGGAGCACTGAAGAGAACCGTGGAGCACTCAGCCGGCACTGATCAAACATCTCTGTCCTAAAGCTGTCCAATCAAGCTACAGCGCCAAGCCTGGCAAGAATACAGCCAGTTGTGTTGCTTGTGTCTTGATGAAATAGGTTTGCTGATTATGGCTGCATTCTGGAGATCAGGAACGTTGAATTCTTTGCTGATGGGCGCTCGGTTGTAGACAGCATTGGCAGGAGGAGGTTTAAGGTGATAGAGCACAGCCAGCGCGATGGATACAACACAGCCGATATTGAGTACATCGAGGATCAGAAGGTGAGAAGACTATTTTCCAAGAGAGTGTTTTGATACAGGCAGTGTGTGTATCAGGCTGGGATCATGCCAGGCTGCCCGGTAGGGTATTTTAGATCTGCTTTATCTAGGTAATCCGATCTCACTGGATGTAGGGCCAAAGCCAGTGACCAAATCCAAATTAGTGGGAGCTAGGAATGTGAATGACTAGTCGACTATCGGATAAGCAAATGCTTATTGGATAGTCAACACACTAGTCTACTAGTTGCACGCCCCCCCTTGCTGCCTCTATCAAAGTGGCAGCAAGAGGGGGGCAGGAGGAGGAGGTGGTTCCAAGTAGCAGTGTCACATGAAGCCCGGGGTTAGCTGAGGACTGAGACTCCCCAGCGAACCTTGGTCTCTATGCAGCACTGCCACTTTAAAAAGCCACCAGGAGCACGGGGGGGCGACTGCTTGAGTCTTCTGCTGGACCCATGTTCCCTGCAGCACTTTGGCCTTTGAAGTGTAGCAACAGCCCCAGGCTGTGGAGGTGCCCTTATCGACTAATCGAATAGTTGATGCAAATTGCACTGACTATTCAATTAGCCAGTTAAACTATTGGGCGCAAAGGGTCCGCTCCCGCTCCCACTCCCACTAGCGATGTTAAATTTAGAGGAAGTCCACTATTATGGAGAGAATATAGAACATATCCAAAATGTGGTAGGTATGTGCAAACCCATAGTTAGCTAAAGGAAGACTGGGCTTGCCCCAAAGAGTTACATTAAAAGATTGTAACATCACTTGGGGGCCCATGTCTAAGTGATTGTTCTGAAAATGGACTTTTTTTAGAGCATAGTGGGTGAAGAGAGCCCAAGAGGAGCCTTGATTGAGATGCTTTTCAGACAAAATAATTAAAGAACAAACATTCAGGATCTGCCCAAGAGTTCTCCAAAGAAATCAGAATGTGTCGTGTCTTTTGAAACTGAAAATGCAGCTAACTCTAGCTTCATTCCCTCCTTGTGTCAACTCCAGGTGCAAGGAGAGGACTCTGCTGAATTACTTGTTCTGCATGACTCTGTGTATGATCAGGCTTATACGTGGTTTAACTCACTCAAACAAGCACTCAAGAGTCGAATTCTCAGTCACTTTGGTCCAATGCCAACTAAGGATCCTGATCCACAGGTACTTGCCTTTAGATTCATCCAGGGATAGAGGATGTCGTTGTTTTACAAAGCTTAGCCATTACAAATGGATAAACCAAAGTGTTCCAATTCATTGAAGAAAATATGAATCCTCTCTGATTCTGTAGGAACTGTTTAGTAGCTCAAGTATGTTGCCTCAAGCTGTTGCTTCAATAATTCTGAGCAAGTCGATGTTAGTGTTCGATTATTTCATTTGACTTCCTGAGAACTGGTGACCAAACTAATTCCTGGTGACTTCCCAAAATTAGGCAGGGAATAGAGATTGTACAATCCAATGGCAGGGCAAACTTGATGCTAGTGCTACAGAGCTCAATTCTTCCAGATGTGGGAGACCCTAAATCCCAACTACAGAATAGAACAGATCTTGGGGTGCTAAATACTCAATAGGCAGGGCCCTACCAAAATTATGGCTATGAAACATATTGCAGCCTAGGAAAATCGGGTCTTGTGTGCTTTTATGCTATACTAGAAGACCAGCGTTTCTCAAATCAGGGGTTCTGACCCAAATGGGCGTTGAAGGGGCTCAAGTTATTTTAGAGGATAGCGTAAAAGCACACTAGAAGACCAGCATTTCTCAAATCAGGGGTCCTGACCCAAATGGGAGTTGAAGGGGCTCAAGTTATTTTAGAGGGGTTGTGGGATTGTGATCCTTGAGAGCTGGGCTGCTACTTGGCCAGCCACCATCACAGAAGGACCAGGCCATCCTTTGTGTGCTGCTGCTGGTAGCAGTGCTGCTTTCGGAGCTGGGCTCCTAGTCAGCAGCTGCCACTCTCCAGTTGCCCAGGTCTGATAGCAGCCCGGAAGCAAGGGAGCAGTACTGCAACCCTTTCTTGAGTTGCCCAGGTCTGATAGCAACGCTGCCACCAGCAGTAGCCCGGAAGCAAGGGAGCAGTACTGCAACCCTTTCTTGGGTGGAGGGGTGGCAGCTCCTTTGAGTTGGGATCTCTAGTTACAACACCATGAAACTTCAGCTATTTCAAAACTGAAATTAATGTTTAAAGTCTGATCATGACATTGACCAAAATGGTGCCATACATTTAGTAGGGCCAGCATCTTAGGCTTGGGTCTATGACATAACATTAAGGTAATGCAGAAGACACACACGACAGATGATTAGAAGCCAAAATGGGTCTAATTCAAACACTGCACATGATGGAGAAAAGTTCAGGGTCTGGATATAAACTTTGTACTTCAGGCTAATGTCTAGAAGTTACTAAAATGGCATTTGGAGGGACTATTTGAAGGCGTTGGTTGCATTTTTATTGGCAGTCTTAGTATTCTGCCGGGATTTTAAGTCGCCAACAGAATCTGGGCATTTGCATCCTAATGTACGCGGTGTTCTCTCTTGCAGGCTAACCCCAACGGCCCTGCATGGTGCTGGTGGGTCCTTGCTGTCCTTCCACTTGAGAGTAGAGCTCAGCTCCCATTTCTTGCCATGAAATCCCTGAAAGACCGCTTGAATGGCATCAGACGTGTCCTTACCTTCATGTCCCGTGCAAGGTCACGATGATGCTGAGCACGAGTTGGGAAGCCTCTCGCAATACTTGACTGTGGAGCTCCTCTTGCGACTATATCTAACTGCAATAATGTCTTACGGACGTGCGTGTCAAAACAGGACATGTTGGAAGTCTAACTTCCCAAGAAAATACAAAGAGCCAAGGCTATTAGCAGAGCATTCAGTAGTATCCATTGGAACTCTGAACTTTAAGGAGACTACAGCGGTGCACTGCTAGACTAGGATTGGTGTTATGTAACAGAACAAAACTTAAAGTGATCTTGTTTGCCATAAACCTTTTGAAAGTTTGAGGTGGTTTTTTTTTGTAGTAATAGATGAATGAAATCTGTGCAGTTTAATGTGAAACAGAAATACGAATAGTGTTAAAGCATTATTTCAATGAACTTTTATTCCAAATGGTTCAGGTTTATATAGCATTGTGTATTATGACCACAACTTCTGTTTGATCACTTATTTTTGCACTACAATGTCTTTTTTTGATTTCCAAATGTATATTGTAATTATTTATGTGTACATTCTCTACACAGGAAGTAAGCTGCTCTATTTATTTATGGTGTCTTACCATGTATGAATGATTGGGGAAAAGATACTAGGAATACACAAGCTACTACTTCGATCATTTTTCTACACATTTGTGTTTGAGTACTTTGAATGTTTTTTCTACTTCTCTCCAGTGTTCTTTCTATATTCCGAGGATTTCCCCAATACAGCCTGCCGTGAATATGCCGACTTTGTAGGTTCAAGCTCTACCTGCAAATGATAGTAATTTCAGATCTTAACTTGGCTCCCAGTTAAGCAAAGCACTTAAGCATATGTTGAAGTGTCTTCTTGACTTGGGGCTTTGGATAGCAAACCTCAGTGGGGTTTACCCAGAGACAATTTAGGATCTCGCTGTTCATTTTTTGCACAGCTATAAAGAGGAGCACTCCATCTCAGCTCGCAGTGAAATGTATTTTTCTGGAGTGTTGAGAGGCTTGCAGCTAGCAACTGTCACAAAGCAGGAACTGATGTGAGACACCTTTCACGAAGGAGCTGCAGTTGGGGGTGGCATTTCACGTTGATTATTAGCAATTCTTTATCAGCCCTTTTAAATGTTAAGCTCTTGTTGTGTTTGTAATTAATATGATTCGGTTTTTTTGCTATGTAGGGCTCCAGGAGGGCATACAAAGAACGGTATTTTAATAAATTTCTTATTTATTCCATCTTCACCTCCAGGCTTTTCCATTAGCTGCAAATCTCTCCCTGATTTCTGCATTTCTCTTGTCAGACTGAGGACAGCTTCATTGCTAAGGGCTAAGTGTAAACTGGCTTTCACTTTTTCTTCATGTTTTGTTGCTTCGTAATGTTTTGGGCCTGACCTTGCAGGAGTACTGGACAGATGGCACGGGAGCCCTCGGAGTTCAATTTAGTGAGTCTTAACTAGACCCATTAAATCAAACTCCAGAAGATTGATCATGGCAGCAGTGATCTTTTGCAGCATGAAAACATGCCCTTAGTACAGTTTCAAACCGTTACATGAAAGGACACGAGGGGATGCTTCCTGTGAATCAGCCAGGCCTGTACAGACCAATTAATGTGTAAAATGACAGTGAATTTCAGAAATTATATGCCCCTCATTTTCATTACTGCTTTTTGGTGGCAAGCTCTTAGAAGTCAGTGATATCCCTGCGATAAACAAATTGTACTGTGAAAGGGTGAAGTCAACGTGACTTGAGTAACCACTTCCGTAGTTTTTATTTTCCAGTGTTCACTGGAAACACCGATTCCTCTTTTATTGGGATGGTTAATCTGTTAAAGCCGAAAATCAGAAGCCTTACGGATGTATTACGTACCACTGGTTTAAACCATCAGCCAACATGCATTTTATGTCTGGCATCTGTTGTCTTACAGAAGAAAACCAATGCATCACTTGGCAAAGAGTGAGTTCTTGCAGGTGAAGTCACACTTAAAATGCAGTTCTGACTTAAGTTGCACATTACTAACCCAGAAATGGCTTAAAAGCTCAGCCCTGTTCTTATAGAAATCTGAGTGGTTTTGGTCCTCGTGTGCAGGATTTGGCCTTTAAATGTATTTGAAGGCTCACTGCTTTTTAATTCTTTTCTGCATGTCAGAACTACTCTTCTGTGTTCACATTACTGAAGGGTTCTTTAGTTACACGGGGCTTGATGGATTTCAAAATGCGGCATTGTCCTTTCCATCAGCCTCAGGTCAGTTAAGACCACTAAGATTCTAACTTAGCTGTGGTGCTAATATCTCCTAGTTTCTAGTTATGCCATGGTGTAGTGTGTTTTTCAGATACAGTAAATGTGGCATCTTTTCTGAAACCTGAGAGGATTGCTTTAACCATGCCTTCACTTCAATTTCATATACTACACTGATCCCATAAGCATACTGACATAGTAAGTTATCTGTGCATCCAAAAATATTGATTGATGGGAGTTTTGTCTGCTCACTAAATACAGGCTTGGGTATATAGTTCTTTTACAGCATAGGGTAAAATTTAATGCTGTGGAATAAAACCATTTTAATTTCATTTAACCCCATCTTGGGAATTGCAGAAAGTATGCTTTTTTTTTTCTGGTCCATGCCAGAGGCTAAATTTGCACTGGAGCTCAATTCAACAGCTGTGTAGTCACCAGCACAAGTTTCAGTTTAGAGTTTTTTTTGAGCCCTAATAATGAGAAAATCAGATGAGAGAAAGATCAACCATACTTTTATTCCTGGGGTTTTTTGAGCCCTAATAATGAGAAAATAATCAGATGAGAGAAAGATCAACCATACTTTTATTCCTCATATAAACACTTCAGTTTCATTCCTTTACATTTTTTGATACGATTGTTGTTCACTTGCAACTTCCCCCTTTGTCTAACCATATCAAAGACAATGGGGAAAATATATGAAGGACAAAAATACATACGATTGTTGTTCACTTGCAACTTTCCCCCTTGTCTAACCATATCAAAGACAACGGGGAAAATATATGAAGGACAAAAATACCCTATTTCTCTTGGCCAGCTCACCTTATGCATTTTTTAGTTTTTTTGTCAAGAATGGAGCTAGACCCTACTTCTGAGCTTATTGACAGATGTAAATCAGGAGTCTCACTACTGAAGGCAATGGAGTTACACAGGTGTAAAACTGATGGGAGAACAGAATCCAGCAAAAGGTTCAGTAGCCTCTTCTGTGGATTCACCTTGAGTGCTATTTTTTTTAGCAGCTGTTAAGCTGACAACTGGGCTTTTTCATTGTAGTAGCAGGACCATGCTGGTCCTATCCCAGTGTTTCTCAACCAGTAGTAAGAGTACCCTTAGGGGTACTCAAGAGAAGTCTGGGGGGTACATCAACACTACTGAAATGTGGAGAATTTTTTGTTTTAAGTTTTACTGTGTTATTTTTGTACTTTTTACACCCAAAAATGTAATTGCCCACGTGGCTACAAGTAAGTTGTTTAAACATGTTGCAATGGTAGAAAAAAAATTGTCTGAAAACTGATGGTACTGGGATACTTAATTTTTTTTTAAGGGGTGCTTTATTAAAAAAAGTTGAGAAACACTGGTCTATCCTCTCCCCCTATTCTGTAAAAGTATTACTAGCCTTTACAGCACATGTGAGCCATAATTCATTAATCCAAAAATAATCTTGGTAAAAATGACATTTGTATTGAGGGCCGTGAGCTATAATTCATTAATCCAAAAATATTTTCATCTTGGTAAAAATGACATTTGTATTGAGGGTGTGAATCACTCCGTTAGTGATAGTGAAAAATGCAGGTTACAGAGTATTACAAATAGACATATTTTAGGCATGGTCACTCAATGCTTTCTCTGATATGGAAATGTTACCAGTTAATGAGAGCAAAGGACACGCTTTCAATGCCTTGTGTTTTATGGGTTCAGGGGGAGAGTGACTTGTGGAAAAATGTCTTGCATATCCATATCAATGATTCTGCAGTGTGTGCACAAGGCTCAGTTGGAATTGCATGCTTTGAGTCTGACACAATACTGTGTCAATAGACTTACATGGATTGCATGAGAGACTGGATCTAGCCCCAGGCAGCAGAATTAGGAAAAATGCGGAAAAGCACAGCTTCAGCCTCGCTAGTCTGGCACCTTTGGGACCTGACTGGTGCTAAACCAGAGAATTGGCCAAACCACAGGAGGTCAAGGCTGTCTAGCAGCATTACCAACCCTTCCACTGCTCACGGGCGTCTTACACTTTCAGGCTAAATTAGAGATAATAAACAGTGCAGGACACAGAGCTAGGATTGGTGGCTATAAACAAACTTTATGGGACCCTGGGAAACTTGGCCACCTTCATAAGTGTACATCCAGCGCACTAAAATCAGGCTGGACCATGGGTGGTGTGGAATAGAGGTTCCTTTGTAAATGAAATACTCTTCAGACTTGCAAAATACATATTGACAATATTTAAGAAACCAGATTATTTAATACAAGATGAAATTATTTCAGGTGATTCAGCTTGTGTTACACCAGAGTCTTGTCGACATGGCAGTGCAGTGACAATACAACACTGAACTGTAGGGTATATTAACTTGTGTTCTAACTGTCCTTTTGTAGAGCCTCGTGGTGTGAACTAAAAAGGTAGCTAGTTAGCACTGCTGTAGTTCTGCGTGGAACAGGGCTAAGACCTACTTGTTTCACCCGGGCAGAGCCTACGGAGGTCAGAGCATACATTAGCATACCCCTGTGGTCAACGCTGCCAGCTGTGTAGACAAGGCCAGAGTTACACATCCAAGCATCACGTGATGTGCTTGCTGACGTGAGTTTTCAGAAGGTCTATGTTAACCTTCAACAGACGCGCCTGTATTCTCTGTGGCTGGTTGCCATTCTTGATCTAATCCTCTGTCCCCCCAACACACACTGTTTTTAAAATGTCTTTGTCACAATTGAGGATGCGGGTTCATAGTGCAGCACTGTTGCAGACACATTATGTCAATGTTTTGCATGTATCTACCGGCAAGAAAACATTCTCACAGCGGCTGGGAGGAGGCTGTTTAAGACACCTTAATGTGATGCTATTGGCTTGTACTGTACTAAAGAGAAAATATATGAAGTCATTTTTAATAGCAACACATTTCTTTGGGTGGGGCTTCTGTGTTCCATTTGTAAAACATCCCTTTTTTTCTTGCACTGTAATGAACGGGAAGAGAAATTAAATTAAACTTACCATTGAACTGCAATGCTATTCCGTTACCTCTAAGTTTGATAAGGCTTCCCCCAATTCACACTCTCCTGTTCAAGATAATTGCATAGTCCTGTCAGCCTGTTGTGTGTCTAGCAGTACTGATTGTACAGATAGAGTCTGTTGGACACGGTGCTTCTGAATTTTAGGTCTCTTCTTCTCTCCCCTTTCTTCTCCCCTCTCCTCCCCTCCCCTCCCCACGCAGTCAATGGAAAGATTTTCAATGACGGCAGTGGCCACACAAACACAACAGCCTCAGTTCAGGAGAACACTGATGTGCTGCAATCCATTCCAATTCAGGGTAGTAGAACCACCTTCTTAACACAGATTATGTTCTCCCTCCTTCATCCCCCAAAGGACTATGTCCAAGTGGGCCAAGTTCTGGCATAAGATATGCAAGTGCAACCGCTGTTGATTTGTGGCATCTGTATATTTCCAGAGGAGGGGAGAGTAAGGCGAGCTTGTGTGCACAAGCTCCAGGTTTTCATACACGGGCACTAGCTTTTCTTCATGCAGGTCCGGTAAGAGCAGCCCACTGAAAACTTGGCCTAGTCTATGTATGTATTCAGTAAATTCTATTGCCTCAAAGCAGTTTAACTTAGAAGCATGGGGTTGGAAAAGCCCTCAGGAGTCAGAGTCCAGCCCCCTGCCCCAAGCAGGACCAACCCCAGTGAAATCATCCCAGCCAGGGTTTTATCAAGCTAGGACTTCAAACCTCTAAGGAATCCATCCCAGGGCTTCCTCACCCTTTTAGGCAAATAATTTTTCCTAATAGCCAACGTAGACCTCCCCCGCTGCAACTTGAGCCCATTGCTCCTTGTTCTGCCATCCGTCACTACTGAGAACAGCCTCTCTCCATCCTCTTTGGAACCTCCCTTCAGGTAGTTAAAGGCTGTCAAATCCCCCGTCCCTCTTCTCTTCTGTAAACAAACCCAACTCCCTCAGCGTAAGTCATGTGCTCCCTGAGGTTGCTATTTGTTCAATGAAGTTTTAATCAGAACCCTCAAACCCTGTCATAAGACAGCAGCAATTTTAATTGCTCACTCATTAACTGATAAAAATAATGCATAGTAGTCCACACGATGGTCAAACTGCCTAGACATGACGGCCTGTGATAGGCGTGCTTAGTAGTTACCAGTCCACGTTTATAAATAAAAGGCAAAGCAAAGGAGCACAGTGCTTTGTCTGAGATCACAGAAGCCCAGGGATGTAGGCAAGTTTAATGTATTAAAAATATTTTTACCACACCTCTCTATTTAAAATATTCAAGGCGGCTTACACATTTTTTAAAAAACACAGTGGCTGTGTCTACACTGGGCCACTTATTCTGGAAAAGCAGCCGCTTTTCTGGAATAAGCTGCGAGCTGTCTACACTGGCCCTTGCATTTCCAGAAAAGCAACGATGCTCTACTGTACAAAATCAGCCGCTATTCCGGAAAAACTATTCTGCTCCCGCTCAGGCATAAGTCCTTATTCTGGAACACTGTTCTGGAAAAGGGCCAGTGTAGACAGCCCAGTAGCCTTTTCTGGAAAAAAGCCCCGATCGCGAAAATGGCGATTGGGGCTCTTTTCTGGAAAAGCACGTCTACATTGGCCACAGACGCTTTTCCGGAAAAAGGGCTTTTCCAGAAAAGCAGCCTGCCAATGTAGATGCTCCTTTTCTGGAAAAACTGAAAACGGAATAGTATTCCGTTTTAAGCATTTCCGGAAATTCATGCCAGTGTAGACACAGCCAATACATATGGATATGTAAAGTAAAACATAGGACCCCAAAGGGGGGACACCGATGGAACATCACTTGTTTAAAGATGCCGGCACATGCCAGGAGGCGTGCGTGCTGGTGCGCCTCAGTTCCCCTGTGCTGTCGTGTGCCAATACTTTGGTGTAGTTGTGCGAGTGCTGGTTTATGGCCCGTGATACAGCAGGTGACCTGGTGGCCCTTGCACTCTAAGCTAGGACTGCAGGCAAGTCCCATCATTTCTCTGACTTCATTTTGAAGCTGTAAAACAAGACTAATTGGAACTCAGATGCACCGAACTTCCAATATTCTGCTCCCTCCACAGACGCATTGGGCCCAGCCTCCGGTACCATCTGCTCCATGAGGAATTTTTAATTCACCATTTTTAAAGGGTGGGCCATCAGGGTGCCTGGTAGCCTAGGTGGGGAGAGGCTTTGCCTTCCCAAACCGCCAGCCCGGCCCTGCCCACAGAACACCTACTGGGGGGCGGAGTGTTGCTGCCTCCAGCCTCCACCCTCCCCGTGCTCTAGGGTGGCTCAGGCCACACAGCCGCCTCCCTTCCCGCCGCTCTGGGGGCCACATGGCCTCTTCCCTCCCTGCTGC